ATGTCATGGGGTAGGACTGGATAAGTCTGACTTCTTCCTACTCCATTCAAACATGTACTAGGTATAAGCAAATTGATAAGGGATTAGCATTTGTGGATATGTGTGAAATTATGTGTGTTGACATATCGACTATCTTTACATGCTTGAAAGAATAAAATCAAATCAAACTTGACCAGCTCTGGATAAATCAGCTTGAAGCAGATTTTATAAAGAGCAAGTGCTCTGATGCCTTTTAAATCTGGGTCTTCTATTCATTTCCAAGAAACAATGGACTTTTTCATAGAATGAATTATTTCAATTCAGGGTTTTTTTTTTTTTTTTTTTTTTTTGCATAGTACCAAATCACAACAAGTCATCTCAGGACACTTTTACACAGGTCTAGATCTTATTATTATTATAAAGGAAAAATCCAACAAATCCCCCTTGAGCAAGGTACTGGGAGATAGAGAGGACACAGTATGGGAGAGAGGCACAGTTGGGTCTTTAAGGTACAATGGAGCCTTGTCATTAAGGGCTTTGTATGTTAGGAGCAGGATTTAAAATGCTATTCTGGATATTACACAGAGCCAATGGAAAGAAGCTTCCAACACAGATACTTTCAATGTTTCATGGAGGTTGTTTTTATTAAATGCCAACAATTTTTTAAAAATATGCTTGTTTTTTATAAGGGTGGCAAATAAAATAGCATCTTGACATTCACTGACTGATAATCATTGACTGTCAGTGACTGCTTTCTAGACTTAAATCTGGTAGCCAACCTAAACTTTGCAAGATTTAGTCTTTCTCTAAAAAGCTCATGCATGTGATACAATTGGATTTGTCATGGAAACACTTAATTGAATATTATGAGAATGTTCAGAGAAAAATAAATGACTTGTGAAAGTGTAGAATTTTTGTAGTGTGGAGATATTGGTACTGCTGATTTTGCTGAGCAATTCAGGAAAGCCACTGCCATCATGACATGATTGAAGGACAATATACTCAGAGGTTTCAGAGAGGTCAGGTGAGGGTGGGGGAAGGCTGGTTACTAAAGGTTGGAGAGCAAGACAAATTGATGAAAAGCTACCAAGTGAAAGACAAGAAAGAAAAAGAGGGAAGGGAAAGGATAAGATGTGTTTGGCAAGGATGAAGGGAGTTAAGGTGGGGTCTGTGCATAATTACATTTTCTGTTCTGAGCAGTATTGGGAATCAATAATGTAATTCATAGAAAAGCCATAGAACTGCTGCCCATTGGCATTCACAGACACGAGCCATGCTTACATCCCAAAGAATTAAAACAAGACAAGGGGGGAGAAAGGCAAGATGGGGGGCAGTGGTGTCTGTCATTGAAACAAAGACACCCCTTTTTTCATCCTCAGTCTTTAAATTTTTCCCACAATGCACTGCAAAAAGCTGGAGAGTTTGAGTTTCTATTGCATCGTGATGGGCATTTTCAGGTTTGCCTGGCGTTCACATGGAGACAGCTCTCTCTGTCCTCATGATGTTTAGATATCACATACACAAACACTCACACACCTCCTTGTATTCATATAATCATAGCTGGTATTTTGGGGTGAGATGTACAATGGCAGTTTCACCTCATGAGACTGCCACAGTGTATTTACAAAGGGCTTAGATGAGATTCCTCACTAAAATTCAACAACGCATACTCCAGCAAGAAAACACACAACAATGAAGCAGTTAAATTTAAAAGCCCCCATGTTTACTGTTGCTGATGTGACTGCAGTGACAGTGCAACAAAACATGCATTTTTAATGGATGCATCATAGATGGTTTGAGACACTTGGCAGTTGTTTACTTGAAGGCTACCTCTTTAAGAGTGAATACAATTCAATTCTGGTTTATAGAATGTTGGTCTCATCAAAGTTTTGGCCATGCATTTACTATGCTAAATAGATGTTCATCAGTCAGACAGGTTGTAAACAAATTTCAAGTTTCATTAAACTTATTTAGAAGAGAAAACAAAGGCAATTAGTAAAAATACTACCCAAACTGTCTGCTGTAAGCCTCCATCACAGACACACTCTCTGCTCCAACTTTGTACTGTACTGTAGGTTTCTTATGCAGTAAGGTATTATTTGCTGCAATGCATGCACAGTCACTTACAGTTTTACTGCAGTACTTACATATAGCATGATTTAGATCATATACTGATGGGGTTTTTTAAACCTGCCTGATCATCAGATTACTAATGCTTTTGATCCATTGGACTACTTTGTGGCAATGTTACTTTCTTAACCTAAACAGAGTGAACTTCCTTGATTACACCAAAATGTTACTGAAAGTAAAAAGAACATAATAAAAAAGAAAAGACGTAAACAAATATTCATTTTGAACTTGTATTACATTCTAGCTGAGACTTGTAAGACATGGTATATTAGAAAGGTTAAAGGTGGCCTTCGGCAGGTCTAAGAGGGAGTCCAGTTATTTCCTTTTAGCATGATTTTTGTCCTGTGAAAGCTCTGTAAAAGCAAAAAATCACATAGCATAGCAGAGCCATTAGGAGTGAAGCTACCAGAAATACTGTCCTCCACTTTAAAGAAACCAAGCATTTCACCTCTGCCTTTTCTTTAGCAGAGATCAAGAAGGTCTTTCAGCCTGAGAGGAGGTGATTTAAAGTTTCACACATGAAACCAGCAAAAGGATTCTTGATTTTTCCCTTCTGCTTCCAAATGAAAAGTGACAGAGTTTAAATTCTAGGAAATTCTGCCTTTCTGTAATATATTTAACTGTGAGAGGGGGGTTGTATGTTTTTCAAGGTTTGACCCTAAAGACAATTAATAGGATATGAATGTGTTTGATACAATGAAAATATTTTTAGCTGTGAGTGCAACCCAGATGAAGACTAATTGTTTGCCATGAGCTTTTTTTATTTTTATTTTGGACTATTCTTTTGGCCTGGTAAGGTAACGTCCATTCTAGCTTTTATTACATCAGCTGGTTTTCCCCCATATCACAGTGTTATCTTTCTAATAACCATATTGCATCTCCTCAGGGCAGAAATGACCTGTAATCATTTGCAGCTGGTTTGAGGAGCAACAAAACTAGACAATAAAAATACCCAAAGAAAAAAATGCACCAAGCACAAAGATTGAAATTTGAAGGTTAAAATGTATAGAATAAATATTACAATAGTAAATCACAGCATTGTGTTACAAAGCCCAGGAGGGGACATAGAAAAGAAAAACAATTTATGGTTGAAGAAGAAAAGGAATTATAGTTACTTTGTGTTCCCTATGTGTAATTATTATGCGTTGATTTAGTGTCAGAGCTGCGATTCTCAAAGACCCGCAGGACTGCACCTTCTCTGCTTGGCTAAGTCAGTCAGGCTGCTGTCAGTTACTACTGACTTACAGTTTCCTCTGTGTGTGAGGAAAGGGTGTGCACTGTTTCTACAGGTTTAGGGTCTTGGAGTCAGATTTTGTTTATTTGTGGCTTGATGCCACAAATTAATAACAAAATTATTAAAAGAAAAAAATCATCATACTTGCTAGGTAAATGCTCACATTAATACATAATGTTAAGAAGCCGTCCCTGGTAGACTAGTGGTTAAGGTGCAGGACTGTCGCAGCTGTGGCCCTGGTTGGAATCAGGGTTGCGTCAGGAAGGGCATCTGGCGTAAAACGTGTGCCAAATGTCAACATGCGAGTCATCAGTGTGATGATTCGCTGTGGGGACCCCTAAACGGGAAAAGCCGAAAGTGACTTTCTTTAATACATAATGTTAAGACATTATGAAAACACCATATTATGCACCATTTGTAACTGCAGAGGTTGTACTTTTAGCAACATCTGTATAAAGACAGTATATAAGAAACAGGCCTTCAACACCAGCCAAATGTCATATTTTCCTGTTTATTTTCATGTATTATTTATAGAAAGAAAGTCACTTTCGGCTTTTTTTAGGGGTCGCCTCGGTGAATCGTCACACTGACGACTCGCATGTTGACCTTTGGTACGTGTTTTATGCCAGATGCCCTTCCTGATACAACCCTGACTCGAACCCAGGCCGCAGCGGCAACAGTGCTGCACCTTAACCACTAGCCTACCAGGGACAGCATTTTCATGGATTTCATGGATGTATTTCTTTTGTGCTGCTTCATTCTTTAAGTCTCACTTCGGGTGATGTTTTGCATGCTGTTCTTAAATGTACATAGTGTAGCTTGGTCTGTTTAAGTTCCACGGTGGTGGTATTCTTTGTTGGTGATATTTTTTTCCTACTGTAAATGTTATTATGAGGCAGACTGTATGGTAAGGCAGCTCAGCACACAGTTGGCTGTCATCCTGCCCAGCAGGTATAGAGGCATGGCTGCAAAGTGCTGCTGAAGCTCCACTGGTGTCTATGCTCACCTGTGTTTCCTCATGCTCTTCTCCCCTGCAGTGCTGACAGGAAGTCAAGTTGAGTCCCCAGCCCCTATCCAAAGTTTTCATAGAGCCATGACCAGCAGGACACGTCTCCGGAGAGCCGTCACTGAGGAAACCTACTGGGCCTACTCAGGTGTGTTTGTGCACTTCTTTTTCTGTCGAAACCAGTTTCAGTGTTTCCACTGCTGAAGTTTTGAGCCTTCAGTTCCACACACCCTGGCAAAGCATGATCATTTTCAGTATTGGAAAAAACCACTGGACAAAAAAAGTTACATATATGGAGAACTTACAGTATTTTTTTTTTCTTATTCCATACAATATTTGTGCTTTGCCTGTGTTTAGGATCTGATTATTTAGTTAGTAATATAACTTGCAGGTTAGCAACCCTACTGCAATAACATAGGAAAATTATGTAGAAGTTAGATTTGTAAAAATCTATATATGTGCTTCATTAACATTTGGAGTGGTCTATCTCAAGAAAGACAAATTGGAAGTGATGTCACAAAAGGTAGAGGAAATATGGATACGGTAACTATGCTGTCTTTGGAAAATTTGAAAATATTTATTTAGGGGGCATAATTGACTCGTAATAATGAGCCTGTTGTTAAAGAGACTGGAATAGGCAAGGATTAGGTTAAATAATGACTAAGAATAAAATAAGCCCGAGAGGAAAAGATCTGGTGCTCTGGGTCTCCAAGCCCTGCAGCACTGGCCATAAACATCACATTAAATTACAAATGTAATACCTGTGCAAACAAATGACCTAGCTAAAGTTATCAGTTATGCTTTATCAGGTGGTATGCTTTACAAAATAAAATACTAATGCTACCTAATATTAGCCATTCTGTACCTTATCACCTGGATGTTGTACAGGATAGCTTCAAGGTCAAAGTGTTTATTTGTCATATGCAGAGTTAGGAAACGTGTTTCCCTGTACAATGAAATTCTTACTTTGCTGTCCACATGAATGCCACAAAATACAAATGAAATATAAAGTAGATAAATAAGTAACACAAAATCTAAGGCACTTTAAGCA